ACAAAGTGCAGACTCTTACTGTAATCAATGTATACTGTCCGCGGGCTGACCCTGAGAAGCCGGAGCGAAAGCATTTCAAACTACAGTTCTACAAGCTGCTTCAGTGTCGGGCTGAAGCTATACTGAATGATGGCAGGTGAAAAGTTTCCACAGACTGAAAAACAATACGAGGTGCAGGTGTATCCTGCTTTTACCACAGCTATGTCCCTTATGCAGCTGTTCTAATTTGCATGCTTGAACAGTGACACAGTCAGTTGTCGATATATACAGTGCCTTGCGAAAGTATTCGGCCCCCTTGAACTTTGCGACCTTTTGCCACATTTCAGGCTTCAAACATAAAGATATAAAACTGTAATTTTTTGTGAAGAATCAACAACAAGTGGGACACAATCATGAAGTGGAACGAAATTTATTGGATATTTCAAACTTTTTTAACAAATAAAAAACTGAATAATTGGGCGTGCAAAATTATTCAGCCCCTTTACTTTCAGTGCAGCAAACTCTCTCCAGAAGTTCAGTGAGGATCTCTGAATGATCCAATGTTGACCTAAATGACTAATGATGATAAATAGAATCCACCTGTGTGTAATCAAGTCTCCGTATAAATGCACCTGCACTGTGATAGTCTCAGAGGTCTGTTTAAAGCGCAGAGAGCATCATGAAGAACAAGGAACACACCAGGCAGGTCCGAGATACTGTTGTGGAGAAGTTTAAAGCCGGATTTGGATACAAAAAGATTTCCCAAGCTTTAAACATCCCAAGGAGCACTGTGCAAGTGATAATATTGAAATGGAAGGAGTATCAGACCACTGCAAATCTACCAAGACCTGGCCGTCCCTCTAAACTTTCAGCTCATACAAGGAGAAGACTGATCAGAGATGCAGCCAAGAGGCCCATGATCACTCTGGATGAACTGCAGAGATCTACAGCTGAGGTGGGAGACTCTGTCCATAGGACAACAATCAGTCGTATACTGCACAAATCTGGCCTTTATGGAAGAGTGGCAAGAAGAAAGCCATTTCTTAAAGATATCCATAAAAAGTGTCGTTTAAAGTTTGCCACAAGCCACCTGGGAGACACACCAAACATGTGGAAGAAGGTGCTCTGGTCAGATGAAACCAAAATCGAACTTTTTGGCAACAATGCAAAACGTTATGTTTGGCGTAAAAGCAACACAGCTCATCACCCTGAACACACCATCCCCACTGTCAAACATGGTGGTGGCAGCATCCTGGTTTGGGCCTGCTTTTCTTCAGCAGGGACAGGGAAGATGGTTAAAATTGATGGGAAGATGGATGGAGCCAAATACAGGACCATTCTGGAAGGAAACCTGATGGAGTCTGCAAAAGACCTGAGACTGGGATGGAGATTTGTCTTCCAACAAGACAATGATCCAAAACATAAAGCAAAATCTACATTGGAATGGTTCACAAATAAACATATCCAGGTGTTAGAATGGCCAAGTCAAAGTCCAGACCTGAATCCAATCGAGAATCTGTGGGAAGAACTGAAAACTGCTGTTCACAAACGCTCTCTATCCAACCTCACTGAGCTCGAGCTGTTTTGCAAGGCGGAATGGGCAAAAATTTCAGTCTCTTGATGTGCAAAACTGATAGAGACATACCCCAAGTGACTTACAGCTGTAATCGCAGCAAAAGGTGGCGCTACAAAGTATTAACTTAAGGGGGCTGAATAATTTTGCACGCCCAATTTTTCAGTTTTTTTATTTGTTAAAAAAGTTTGAAATATCCAATAAATTTCGTTCTACTTCATGATTGTGTCCCACTTGTTGTTGATTCTTCACAAAAAATTACAGTTTTATATCTTTATGTTTGAAGCCTGAAATGTGGCAAAAGGTCGCAAAGTTCAAGGGGGCCGAATACTTTCTCAAGGCACTGTATATATATGTTAAAAAAGATCCAAGATACAGTATGTGCACTTTGACATAATGTTTGATATTATGTGTTTATAAATTCACTAAAACTAAAAGCAGATCACAGTGCAGTGAAAGAAATATTGTAATAAAAATGTGTACATTTGCAATCAAAGTTATAACGAGTATATATTATGGTTCTTTTTACCTATGCAGTAATATTCTTCTAATTTATTCACAGTTTTTTATTGTTATCGTCACAACAACTGAGCTGTCAGAGTTAATTGTTTTTTCTGCTTTCAGCCATGTGATTGTTTTAGGAGACGTAAACACATCTCACCAAGCAATAGACCACTGTGACCCCAGTGATACTGTAAGTAAAAGGTTAGAATATTGTCAAATGGATGTTTTGCTTGTCTTTACTAGTCCTTTTAAAATAGCAATGTTGTGTTTTTGCCAAATGTGCACAGTGTGTCCCTATTCATAATAATGAAACTCTTTTTACTTAGGATGATTTTGGTGAAAACCCTGGGAGGAAATGGCTGAATGGTTTTTTGTACCGTGGCAAACAAGAAGAGAACAGGATTGAGGAGGAACCTGCTGAAGAATCGGAGGGAACCTCAACAGATCACATCCATGTTGGAAAGTTTGTGGATACCTTTCGCTATTTCCACCCAACTCGCACCAGTGCCTTCACATGCTGGTCCACTCTCACTGGAGCGCGACAGACCAACTATGGCACACGCATTGACTATATATTTGCTGATTGCCAGCTAGCCAAGGAGCATTTTGTGGCAGCAGACATCATGCCAGAGGTAGAGGGGTCAGACCACTGCCCTGTATGGGGACAACTAAGCTGTCCTCTCCTGCCCAGCTCCAAGCCTCCTCCCCTCTGTACTTGCTACCTGCCAGAGTTTGCGGGCAAGCAGCAGAAACTCTCCCGCTTCCTTGTTAAGGTAGACCAAAAATCAGTTCAGTCTGAGCAGAGGGACATATTACCTGGATCTCAAGAAGAGGAGGAAAGGAGGGAGAATTTAAACCCATTCAGAGCTGGACACACCTCTGGTAAAAAACGGGTGTTAACATCAGATTCTGTCATCCCAAAGGGGAAGAAGACAAAAACAGTAAAAGCTTCTTCAAAGCCTCAGGGGAGCCTCCTTTCCTTTTTTAAACCTAAACATGCAAATGGCGCTCCCCCCTCTGAAGCTCCTGTCAGGCAGTGTGAAAGCACACATGACCTGGATGAAATTACCTCATCACAAAACTCCCCCAAAGCCCCCGCAGTTAAAGAAAATGTGTCCTCTGTCACAGGCAGGAAACCAGAAGACTCAGAGCGAGTCTTGGATGGTTCTTCCCAGGTGTGTTCCAGCAGCGCCACAACAGTAGCTGACAAAGAGATGAGGACAAAACAAGCAACCCAACAAACCAATGTGGGGCATTCAAATGCTAAGAAAGGTGAATCATCAGTGTTTTGGAAGTCGCTGCTTCATGGACCACCTCCACCACCCTCCTGTAAGGTGCACGGGGAGCCTTGTGTGCTTCGTACTGTAAAAAAGGAGGGGCCAAACATGGGCAAACAGTTCTTTGTGTGTGCCCGTCCTCAGGGACATGCCTCCAACCCTGAAGCCCGATGTAATTTCTTTGCATGGGTTGACAAGGGGAAGTGACCTGTTTACCGCATAGACCACAAGTAGTTTTCCTTAATTATCAGTAAACCCATTTTGTAAAAGTGCTACTAACTACAGATATGTCATCATTTCACAGTTGTATTTGTTGACTTGTGTTTGTTTTTAGCAAAATAATAAAAGATAGTAGGTTTCTGTTTCTTTGAGACTGGTTTTTATTTCTTCCTAGTGCTGAAATACAACCCCAAATCAGAAAAAGTTGGGATATGGTATGTAAAATCAAAATTATAACTGAAAGTAGTGATTTGTAAGTCATCTGTGTCCTGTATTACATTTAAAACAGCTTCTGCAATTTGGAGTTGTAATTAGGCAATCAACAGATTAGTTGATCCACAGAAATCAGGTAAATTTGGCAAATTCATTTTTAAGTAAATAAGCTAAATGTCCCTAGGTTCCAGTTTCTCGCATGTGAGGATTTGCACTTTTCTCTGACTGCTTTATATCATTGGAAACTGATTATCCCTAAAAGTCACATTGGGTCCTGGGGAACTCTGATGGACATTTTTCACCATTTTCTTACGTTTTACAGGTGAAGCAATCCGTTTAATTGTGGGATGATACTGAAATCAATAATGGAATTAACACTCAGTCCTACTTAATCAAAGCACATAACTTGGCCAAGTGTATCAACATATGGTTGTGTTAAAGTCCCTCTCATCATACAGCATCTGATTATCTAAGATGTTGTGTGTCGTTGCTTTTGTTTAATTTACTGACTAGATATGCTCATTGCCATGGAGGTTTGTGGCCACTAGATGGAGAGGGTAGTGAGCTGATGACACGATGTTGAAGCTCAGAGAAGAAAAGTAACTTTCGAGCACAACACATTTTCTTGACACTACCAGCCGTACAGGCACAGGATAACACTATAACACAGGCCAGTAAGCAGAGTATTTTAATCAGACTGTAGTTTTTATTTGTCAGCTTTAGGCTTAACATTACATTAGAAAGACTGGTTAAATGTTCCAACATGCTCATCAGATAACTAGGATCACTGCTGGTAGTGTCCAAGTATATACAAGTAAATACAGCATTTTATAAAGCAACAGAGCACCATATGTTATCTGAGTAGTCGAAAGGAAAAAGGAGTGGTTTGGTTTACACCACAGCATAACGCGCGCAGTTGCCATCCCCCTCTTCCCTTCACAGCTGCAAAGAACTTCATGGCTCTGTGAAAAGGCAGAATTTGGGTGTGAACCACGTAACAAGTTTGAACTTTTATCCTTTTACTTCTGTCTAAACTGAAGACGTCCTTCCGTCTGTTGTTACTAGAGAGGTGAGTACCAGAAGGAGGCCTACATTTGCTCCAGCATTTTGACCACAACACAATTTCCCATTCATAAATGGTGAAAGACAAGTAATTTGTTAATTGTACACTGTGACAGTCAAAATAAGGATTGAAATAAGGATAGTATTATTTTTATCAGCTGGTTTCTGCTTTAACGTTTAAGCTGAGAATATATGGTGTACTCTCATGTGCACTCTCTCTTTTGTGACATGCTCGTAGTACATAGCACAGACATGGGATTTTAAACAACTCACTGATCATCTTTACTGAAAATACTGACCACCGTTTGGTACAAGAATATATTAATTGTCTTGATGTGTGGTTTTACTGAGACAGAATGCTCCTGTTGAACCACATTTCACACTTATCTTGTGCTACGTGTTAGTAACTTTCTCCTGATTTTCCCCAGATCACTAGTTTAGAACTGACTACAGGTCACTAAGGCCAGTTAAAGTGACTGAGGTGACTGACGTAGCCGGTATCTTTCCAGGATTTAAACTCACACAGTCTGTACAGACATTGGTTGGTTGTGAGATTTTCCTGGCAAACTGCTTCAAACAGCCTGAACATGACAAAAGATTTGAAATGTGGAAGTGATGATTTGTTTTTTGTTTGTATGATAAAATGAAACTATATTATTTATGATGTTTACATTATTTACGATGTATAAAAGAATCTGCCGCATGTGTGTGCGCGCTCCGATCTCGAAACAACAAAATTTTTCAGTAAAGCAATTGTGTTATGGTGAGATAAAGAACATCTGCGTGTTCCTAGGGTGTGCAAGCAAAGCTCATATCTCATTTAAGCTGAACTTTATCAGCCAACAGAAATTTAGTCTCTGAGAAGTGAAACATATTTAAGGTTTGGTGATCTACTACTACTGAGCACATGTTTTGTTTTTTTTTTGCTGTGTCCAGGAAGTATGTTGCTTCTGCCCGGCATTTCCTCATACGAAATAAATACGGAAATGATTTCTGTCTTTGATAAAATGTAAAAAGTTTTTTGAGGTCCCAGAACTAAATAGGAGCATTTCAGAATCAGAATCAGCTTTATTGGCCAGGTGTGTCGGACACACAAGGAATTTGACTGTGGTACATCGGCTCTCAATGTGTATGTACATATCCTAATGCAAGGGGCAAGTAAACAGTAAACCAGCATAAGGCTGTGTAGTATAACAAAATAAGCAGTATTAACAGACAGTAAACAATGCAGACAGACAAAGGAATGCTCATTGAAATAAATATAGGAATAGGAATAAAACTAGAGGTATATTTACAGGTATTGCACTTAGGGTTATTGTCCAGTCATTTATTTATTTTGTGTGTCATATTTCAGCTCTTTAATTTACAGTTCTGTCAGCTGTTTGTTTGAGAGCAAACACATGGTAGCTTGCAGACATGCACATTTCAACTCTTAAGCACAAACAATCATCTCCTAAGCTAACTATCACACGTGGCTTCCAGCAGGATGCACAGTGAGTGTCCGCCCATGATGTACACCACACATGACACACATTTCCACCCACCTTTCCACAGTATGGTCTGTAAAGCCTCCGCTATGAACACCAGAATCTGAATTCCTGGGGATTAGCCTTGAACTGCAGACTGCCTTTAAATTCTACATTTCATGTATTTCAGTATTTAGACCCTAGAGTTGACTGACACCTTTTGAGTAAAGACACCTGGTGTTAGATCCACACAGTCTAAATGCAACTGTGATACTACCTGTAACTGGTTTAACAAAGGGTTAAGTATGGGTGTTCCCATTTCCCGCCTCCTCTCTCCCAGCCTCTGAGCTCTTTCACTCTCTCTTCTCTTCACTACCAAGGAGCTTTAGAGAGAATTCATAAAACAAGGCTATATATAAACATTGGAAGTGTCTAAATATTGAGTGAATTGGCACAAGGATTTATTTTGTCAGTATCCCAAAAAGAAAACTAGGCTTGTCCTTGACCACCAGGGTGAGTTGCTGAAAACTGTGGGAATATGTGTGTGTGTGTGTGTGTGTGTGTGTCCTAGATGTTGAGGAAAAGAAGGCAAGGGAAGGGCTAACTGTCAATACTGAGCGGGTCTTGCGTCAGACAAGAACCATGTGTTACTTCTGGATATTAAGGCTACAATGATGTTTCTATTGTGTTAATGTGTGTTGTTCTTTAACAAGATTGTTATATAGATGTTTAATGTATTGTTAAATAGATTTTTTAAATGACAATACATATACTTGTGGTTTACAATACATGTAAACCGCATGGGGGTATGTTATTGGGGGAATATGGCTGCATGAATAAATCTACAGAAGTACTTTTCTATTGTTGTTACTTTGTTCCAGTATGTTTAGTGTTTGCAATGAAATTTCTATTGTGGAACAAGTTCTGGTTAACCAGGTTTGTCTAGTTTTCATCTCACACCCTTTCGCCCAGTAAAAATGCAAATCATGGTTATCTTGTACATTCTGACTTTTACAGTACGGGAGAGATAAAACTGGCTTTTTGTAAAAGTTTAATTAGAAATCAACCTTGACATTTAGCATATTCGTGGTTGGTTGGGTGTGTTCACTGTGTATCATGGGAAAGTCTTTGGGTATGTGGCTAAAGAAAACTTACTTTAACCAAACTTGACCTGAGGCCAGTATGGAGGGGAAAAAAGCCTTATTTAGACTGAATACCAACACTTACACAGGAGCCCTTTGTTTATCGCTGCACTGCTGTGAAACACCATGGTGTATATGGATTATTGTACTTCAACAGGCCAGTGCAGTGATGAGCGTAGGAATATAAAAAAAATTCCAGTTTGGTGTGTAACTACAGGAATGACATGATGTGTTGTCAGTTTGTCCTTGGAATCAGATGAGAGAATCCTGAGGGCAGCCTGAGCCACAGTGAAGGTAAATATCCCCTGACCTGGTGGCAGGAGCGCAGACCTACGTTCATTCCCAGAGTGTCTGTATCAACTTTGTGTGGCTCACAGTCAGTCAGCCATTTGACACCTTTTATTATTTAAAGTCTTTTATGTCACACAAACTTTAAATGGTCATAAAATCCAAAGTAAAAGTGGTCCTTTTTACTACAATTTATTTTTGACCTACTCCAGTAATATGTTGTTTTTTAAATCCCCCATATATGAAGTAGGGAGCAAGTGCCAAAATACAGCAGTGCCAAAGGATTTTTGTAATGCCAAGAGCATAAAAAGCAAGATTCTGTTTCTCTTGGCAAGCAGGAAAAATTTCAGTGGTGTGTCTCAGGACTTTATAAATAGCTATGTGCTTATGAAACTACATGGCATTTTCTGTTTCTGTTTAAGTCACATTCAATGTCTTCTAAGTGCCGTGGATTCCATCTGTTGAAGTACAGATAACTATGTTTACCTTTAAATGGCTGTCATTGTAATATTATAAACTGAAACCACGCCCTACATTCATCTCATAAAAGCATTATGTAATTCAGCTTCTTCAGAAACCCATTCTGAGCTCTTGTCCCAATTGTGACAAGTTAAGACAAGATTTCAGAGAACGTGATGCATACAGAAGCGATGTAAAACAGCAGAGCAGTCACTATCGTAAAACGATTAGCCTGCTCGTAGTTTTCTTCACAAATTATGGAAAGTTGACAAGATCTGTGCTGGAAAAACAACCACAGCTGATATCAAACTTTCTCCATGAATCAACAATGGCCACATGTGTATAAGATTTTGATAAGTACTCTATATCACAAATTAGACCTTTTTCTCTCTTTCCATCAAGCAAAAGTACATTTTCCAAGTCACAGAACTCTCAACCTCAGCAACCAGAATGGAGCTTCAGAAGATGAATGGACATAGCAAAAGTGATGGGTAAGACTCACAAATGAACAGTAATTACTGATGGGTACGTCATGTCATAGTCCAGGCGGTCTAACCTGGACTATTTAACCCCTGTATCCTATCTATTGTAGGTTTGATGGGCTGGATGCCCCAGATGAACAGCAGGAGTTTCTCCCTCATAAAAGTGGCGCCAAGAAAGAAAGCCACTTTACAGATGTGAGTGACTCCTGTCAGCCATACTTTGGCTCTGTGGCTCTAGTAACATGACATGCAGTAAACACATGTACATATGTGATTCTTGTTCGTGAATTGATTTATTTGTGTAAGATCCTGTTGTCTTTGTACTACAGTTCAAGGGAAAGACTTCGTTTGGCATGTCTGTCTTTAACCTCAGTAACGCCATAATGGGCAGTGGAATTCTGGGACTGGCTTTTGCAATGTCCAACACAGGAATTATTCTTTTTGTGTGAGTATCCAAACCAAACATACTGTCCCTACTCTGGCTAAACCTTGTGCCTGACTGAATTTGTCTGTGTGTGTTTGTATATGTATCTACCCATGCAGGTGTGTGTATTTTCTTACAGCGCTTATAATATGGTTATTTGACGGACTTTACCATACCATACCATACCAACTTTATTTATAAAGCACTAAAAACAACCAGAGTGGACCAAAGTGCTGTACATTGCAATAAAACAATATAAATTATAAACCACAAACAACAATATAAAATATAATCAATCAAATGACTAAAATCAACACAAAAATATCAAAATGCCAGGGAAAATAAATGAGTTTTTAAAAGAGACTTAAAAACAGACAGGGTAGAGGCTTGTCTAATGGACAGTGGTAAATCATTCCAGAGTTTAGGACCAGCAACTGCAAAGGCTCGATCGCCTCTAAGCTTACGCTTCGTTCTTGGGACACTCAAGAGAAACTGATTTGCTGACCTCAGAGAGCGTGTGGGTGTATGCCAATGAAGCAAATCAGTTAAGTAGGATGGTGCAGAGCCATGAAGGGATTTAAAAACAAAGAGTAAAATTTTGTAATGGACCCGAAAATGGACAGGTAACCAGTGTAGGGAGGCCAAAACTGGAGAGATATGCTCATATTTCCTTGTACCTGTTAAAAGCACCGGTCTAGTAACAATATGGGCTCTGACTTGTGCAAACTTAAAAACTAAGACAGTCTTAACACTAGAATTAGGATGAGGTTAAAGTTTGTGTTAGTGGGAACAGATTAGATCTAGTGGGGTAATGTCACAAACCCAAACTCTCATGTACAGGTGGAAAGAAACTAAAAGATGGCAATGCCTTTACTTGGATAATGAGCACAGCTTTAACCCTAATTAGAGTGAGACCATTTGTTCATGTGATTTTTAGACATGAATTATATTTTCCATCAGATTTCCATTCTTGTGCTTTCAGAATCCTGTTGGTGTTAATTACCATTTTGTCTGCATATTCCATTCACCTCCTACTGAAAAGTGCTGGAGTTGTTGGTAAGACTCAGCTAGACTCAACATATGTAACTTCACACATGGAGCAAAGTCATTTCTGAATTCATAACTCATCACACATACATAAAATGACTGTGTTTTCAGGCATCCGGGCTTATGAGCAGCTAGGGAATCGGGCTTTTGGCACCCCAGGAAAAATAGTGGCTGCTTGCGTCATTACCATGCACAACATTGGAGGTATTGTCATGCCGTTTCTACCCTTTATTGTTATCTGTCACTGAAAATGTGTAATAAAATAAGATTAAACACACACAGGTAAATAACATAAGATTGTTTTTACATCCTTTTAGCAATGTCCAGCTACCTCTTCATCGTCAAGTCGGAGCTCCCTCTGGTTATTCAAGCTTTCCTTGGTCAAACTGAAAACACGGGGTGAGTGTCGAAGTGATGATGTCAGAGTTTCATTTTTTAATTTGGTGATGTTCTGATTTTTTTCTTCATCTGTTTGTCTGGCTATCTCCTAGAGAGTGGTTCTTGAATGGAAACTACTTGATCATCATTGTTAGCATTTTCATCATCCTTCCTCTGGCAATAATGAAACAACTCGGTATATTTTTCATTCTGTCATCACTTTTTTTTTTTTTATTCCCCATATGTACCTCATGTCTACTACTCATTTTCTTGTCCTGTACTGAAAATCACTTACAGGATGTATCATCTGTCATTGTCCTTGATATCCAGGTTACCTGGGCTATACAAGTGGCTTCTCCCTCTCCTGCATGGTGTTCTTCCTCATTTCCGTGAGTCAGCAAATATACAAACATTACCAACCTTTCCTTCAATAAATATTTATCTTTGATTAATCAGTGGGTGTGTCTTTCTAGGTGATCTACAAAAAATTCAAAATTCCGTGTCCACTAGATGATACACATCATAACCTAACGTTTATAATGCAAGACTATCATGCCATGAATGGGACGGATGACTTGTGTGAAGTCAAGCTAGTTACGGTCAACTCACAGGTAACAGGGGAAAAGATGGCATCGCCTGCTTCTATATAAAAATATTTAACAGAAGGATACTCACTGAACTTTGCTCTGTTTGGCCATCAGACAGTATACACCATCCCAATTATGGCCTTTGCTTTTGTCTGCCACCCAGAGGTGTTACCAATCTACACTGAGTTACGAGAGTAAGTCAAAATATTATCAACTCGATTACAAGATTCAAAAGTGGCACTTACAGTGATGCCCAGAGACCGGTTTTGAAGGTTTTAGTAAAATTAATGTAATTTTTCTGTTTGCCTTTACCTCAGTGCCACTAAAAAACGCATGCAGAATGTTGCCAACATCTCCGTCCTGGCCATGTTTCTCATGTACCTGCTGACCGCTATCTTTGGCTACCTTACCTTTTTTGGTAAGCTACTCCTGAAACTATAAGGTCAAATTTGTTTTGAATGACAAGATTTGAAATGAACGAGCCACTTGTACCCAGACCCATATGTATTTTCCAGTGTTGTGAGTGAGGAGCCTCACCATAGGAGATGTGTCTGCTTGTCCACGAGTATAGGTGCTGTGGAGTCTGAGTTGTTGCACACCTACAGTCGCGTGGACCCCCTGGATGTCCTGACTCTCTGTGTTCGTTTGGCCGTGCTGGTGGCTGTCACTCTGACGGTCCCTGTGGTTCTCTTCCCTGTAAGACATCCATCATATTAGTTTAGTGAGAATATTTATAGCAACAACAATATTTCTTATAATTTCCTTCTACTTTACATAATAACAAAAGTTAAGATATGTAGATAAAATAAATACAACTAAGAAACACAAAAGAAAAGTTTAAAAGAATGGAGAAAGGAGATGATAACACTGACCGGCCACTTTATTAGGTTCATCTGTACAACTGTATGCACGTCAGTGCAACACTTCCACCTTAACATCTGTGTTTATGAAGCTCAAAATGTTTCCATTTTTGGTGGAAGTATCATAAACATATAAATTCAATCATATGTTTCTTATTGAGGTCATAGTTAAAGGTGGTGTTGTAGTGGACTACATTATATTCAGAGGTGTTCCTAGTATTCTGACCCTCCCATGTATGCATGACAGGAGAACAAAATATAGAGACACTTCTATATTTTACATGAAGGCACTGAAACTGCTTTGCTGAGTCTGGCAGAGTGAAATTTCCCAAACCAGCTGTTTCAATTTCAGTAGTGTGTTGACTGTATGGAGCTTTTCTTAACATCCACAATTAAACTTCAGAATGATGGAAAATGGGTGGAAAACATCCACGGAATCATTAAGAATACATAGCAGAGTTACAAACCTTTTAAGTTCAATTAAAAAACAGTTTGACATTCTGGGAAACTTAGGTGAGAAAACCGGTACCATTCTCGTTCCAGTCAATATGAAGCTGAAGCTGGGGAACACTTAGCTTAGCAGGCCTAAACAGCTAGCCTGACTCTGTCTAAGGCTAAAAGGCTCATCTACCAGCACATCTAAAGCTCTCCAATTAACATCCTATATCTTTTTGTTTAATCCATGCAAATACAAAAGTGTACAAACAAAAAGTTGTGCTTTTATGTGCTGTGGTATTTCTTGGCTGGGGCATCCTGGAGTCCCACTGGTTGTGGTGAGTGTTAGAGGTGCTAGTAGGACAGAACTGAGCTGGTCTCCAGTCTTTAAGCTAAGCTATGCTAACCAGTTCTTTGGTTCCAGCTTCATATTAAATGAACAGATATGACAGGGGTGTTCATCTTCTCATCCAAATCTTGCTAAGAAAGAAATGGGCACAGTTCCCACAATTGCAAGCTATTCCTCGGTGAATTAAAGTGCAGAGAGCAAAAAAACTGCAGCTGAATGATTCTGTGTCTACCAATTTTACACAACAGAAATTTGACAAATATCTCAAACTTTTGGCCCATAACATTTTGAAGCATACATATTTTACCTTTAGCAGACTGTTGAGCATATTTTACACATTACTTTGCCTTAGCCAACAGCGGTTTTATAAGACTCTGTTACATGTGGCGATAAAACAAGATAAACCATTACTTTTATATAGTTTGGTTTATCAATCTTATTTATAAAAAAAAACATGACATTCTCCCTTTGCTCCCTTCCTCTGCAGATCCGTAGGGCTTTGATCCAGATTGTGTGTCCTGACAAGCCTTTCCACTGGTTTAGACACATCGGCATTGCAATTTGTCTCATCTTCTTTGTCAACCTACTTGTTATCTTTGTACCCTCCATCCGTGACATATTTGGCCTCATCGGTACGTTTACACAGCAAGAATGAGTGTAGATTTTGTGTTAATAACTACTGTATATCATATGTAAACTGTGCAGTCACTTGTTGTCTCCACCTTCATCTGCAGGAGCCACATCTGCCCCCAGCCTTATCTTCATCCTACCTGGAATCTTCTACCTCCGGATTGTTCCTGTAGACCAGGAACCGTTATTGTCCAGACCCAAGATTCAGGTACAAATCAGTTCCTTCAGCTAAATAAAATTTATTTCTTTGTATTTTAATGTGTTCCTGATACACGTTTTCTTTCCTTCCACCCTTTTAGGCTGCATGCTTTGCTGCATTAGGATTCCTCTTTATGGTCATGAGTTTATCTTTTATCATCACTGACTGGGTGACTGGAGAGTCTCGAAGCGGAGGTGGCCACTAGCTGCTGTGATTGAACAGAGATACTATGAAAAGAATGACAGCCAAAGCACCCCCTATCCTTAAATTACCCCTGATCCAAAGCCAAACAGGAACATTTGGCTGCACAAGACAAAGGATATGTGAAGAACCTTTGCCTGAAACCAAAAACAAGGAAACATTTTGACGTGATGTGGCAGACAAAAGGTCCGGTAACAGAAGAAAGGCCATAGATGTGTGACAATACATAATAATGTGTGCTGTGCTGTCTGCACAAAACCTACAGTATGTCATGCCTGTGTCAGTAAGGAGCATAAAGGATGAACGGGACCAGCATTACTCAAATGGAAATCTCAGTTTTAGTGTAGTGATGTGCACCGTTCCGTGAAATAGCTTGGTCACTGCAACAGTGAAATAGCTTGGTCACTGCAACAGTCCTTCCAATCTAACAGAAATTTGATAAGGCAGTTTTCTCCTTTTTTCTAGGGATTTGCTTTGTGTAAAACAAAATCAGATATTTAAATTTTTTAATTCATCATTGTACATTTAAGGCTATCACATCTGCTGGTGCAGCTCCCTCCAGATTTCTCTGAACTTAACAGATTCAACATCTGACCAACAAGTGTTACCCTGCTGCTCCACACTAACCATTCCATCCTATCAAAATAGTTTACAATGACATAGAATTGAATTAATATATTTAATGTGGTACTTTACTGATATATTCTGGCACTAAGCATAAGGTGATCATCATCGAAGTGGAGGTGACCTTTAAAAAGTGATCCAAAAGATACATTTTGTGATGTTTTTGCTGCTATTGCTGAAGGTCAACCAGACACTCACTGACCAAATCTACAGGCACAGAGTTTACGTTTTTATGTACTCTTGAATACATCTGCAGTTGCAAACCAAAGAACATACAGTGGTGTGAAAAAGTGTTTGCCCCCTTACTGATTTCTTATCTTTTTGCATGTTTGTCACACTGTAATGTTTCAGATCATCAAACAAATTTATATATTAGTCAAAGATAACACAAGTAAACACATCATGCAGTTTTTAAATGAAGGTTTTTATTATTAAGGGAAAACAAAACCCATTTATCCCAGCATGTCTTCCAGGGCCTGAAGCAGCAAAACAGCCCCAGACCATCCCACTACCACCACCATATTTTACTGTTGGTATGATGTTCTTTTTCTGAAATGCGGTGTTACTTTTACACCACACATAATGGGACACACACCTTCCAAAAAGTTCAACGTTTGTCTCGTCTGTCCACAGAGTATTATCCCAAAAGTCTTGGGTATCATCAAGATGTTTTCTGGCAAAACTGAGAC